AAGTTTTGTATAGATAAAGGGATAGAACGTGAATGACGGGAAGATATTGCATTGTCTATGTGACTAGGGGAAGAAGAAAGGTCAAGTTTAAGAAGGGTACCCTATGGGCTTAGAGACACAAGAATGATACTTTTCAATGGAATAATGTTTCAAAATTATAGAAATTCCACTCAGAAAGGCTTTCTCATAATGGGGCAGATGTTCTCTCCTGAAAAGGAGGTAGCTTTCCACTGACTTTTTCTTGACCATGATTAAATTTCAGTTTACCAGTTTTTTCCTTATCTCAAGATGCTTGTACAGTAATGATTCAGCCTTAATCTGCCTTGGCTTTTTAGCCTGGGAATTTCTGTTTTACAGGCTTCTACCCATAGTATTTTATTTTATGATGCAAAGAAGTCAAAGGAGATATACGATCAGATTGTCTCCCATGCAACGGGAGATTCTCACTTCATTTAAATGGTAATGTGTATTTTTATGGAAATTCAGGCCTGGATTGATGAACAAAGATAAGACACCTCTATTAAGTAAAAGAGTGATATAAAAACTGTTTTAGGAAACCTAAAAAACAGTAAAATTTGCAGTGGTGACAGAGAATGTCAAATGTCTACATACACACACACACACATATTCATACAGGATGATTCAGTTTTTCATAGCATAATATTTGATCATGAAGTTGAAAATCCAAGGACAATGGTTGTGGGAGATAGGTGGAGTACACACATCTTCAATCAGTATAAAGAAGTCATACGAAATAATTAGCATATTGTCTTCTGCAAGTATCAGCCACCTAGTAAACATGACGCAGCCAATGGATTAAATGATTCTGTGAGTCAAGTGCAATGCCATTTTCTATGCTCTATGCTCTTTTGACTTATTTTTTCTTTTCTGAGAGCATCAATGCAGCCATGTTTACATTCCTTTAATATAACTTGGTTAATGGTCTTGTGTTTACCAATGAGAAACTTGGAATGATTTACGGCTATTTCTTTTGCAAAAATCCATACCGGTCTTGTAGACTTTTCCTTAGTGATGAATTGTGAGACGGTGTGCCTTCATCTAGCCTGAATGTCATTCACCTGACACTTGTCAGGATATGTTCCCTGACCTCTGCCATCTCCCATGTCAATCTACCTCTTTCTAACATTTTTTACTCAGAAACTTATGTAATTTAGCTCACATTTCCAAAGGAGTTGTCCAGTGCACTCTGTTGCAGTAGAAATGAATTCTAATGGGAAATAGCAGTTGTGTGTGGAGGGGAACAGGATAGGATTAAATTAAGGAAATTTACTATTTATGATTTGGTAAATACATTTTTGTACCCATAGTTTAGATCATGTTAGGTCTTAGAAAAGTTTTCATCACTGTATAGCACATTCATCTGCCATCATTCAGGATAATGGCAAGGCCTCAGAATCTCCCTGGCCATCTCATACCCTTCTATGTCTTGTTCCTGTTCTTTTTCTCTGAAAAATTTCACAGAAATAAGAGATCTCTCTCCTCCAAAGCAAATTAAACAAATTAGGTTTGCTGTTTGGATCTTCCTGTGTCTTTCTGTGTAGGAGAAGAACATATGTAAATTCTTTGGTCTGTCTAGTCCGAGAGTGTATTATTAGATACCCTCTGCCACCCATTCCAAGGACTTCTGCCTCAAATCTAGAAGGAAGGAAAGCTACACATAGAAATAAGAAGACAACCATTGTGGGATTCCCTTTTTAGTCTCTCCTCTTAGATCACACCCTTTGTTTCAACACATTAGTGTACAGTATCTATTGTTACCATCCAAAGCATATATGTGGATAACATTCCCTGTGTCTTAGAGCCCTTGTATCTGAAAACTTTCACACCAGCTAAACTTTAATGAAATTCTGTGTTGTGAATTTCTGTTTTTTACCCTATCTTTTTCTTGTGGGAGTTGGCCATGACCATTACCATAGATGAGGAAAGGTACTATACCTTTCTTGACCCTGCAATTAATTGTGTTTTCTCCACACTGCTTCTACAGGCCATGACCACATCCATCCACCAATTTTTCCCAACACAATCAATTTTGGATACATGGTCTAAAAGTTTCATTAGAATGGAGTGGGGACAACAGGGGAACATTAAGTTGCAGGAGTGGGCTCTCACAAAGCATTTATTTTTGTATTCCTAAAAGCAAACTGTAAAGAGACTCTTACCATATTGTGCAGATGCTGAAGCTAAATAGAGATGGGAGGTGAGGAAGAGGACAGGAGTGGGGACAGAGAAGTAATTACACATTTAAATATCCTGTTTGCTTGCCACATGAGTAGTTCAGAAAAAGCAGGTTGAATATAGTGTTAAGAAAATCTTTTTTTTTTTAGTAGTTATTGTAGAATAATATTTTTTTAGTAGTCATTGTAGAATAATATTTTTGTACACTGCAAAGAAGTGTTACTCGGATTGGTTTAATCAAAAGTTGAACACTCAACAGCTAGGCAGGATTTTGGGAGGAGAGAGGATTCTGGGAAGAAGAAGGGTGGAGTTGCCAGCCAGACAGAGAGGAAGCAAGGTATGTCAGAAGTCACATGGAAACATGTAGATGAATCAAAATGGTTGATTTGCTAGTTAGAAACAAGCCTAAGCTACCAGCCAAGACTTCATAACCAATAAAAACTCTTCATATGGTTATTTGGGAGCAGAGAGGTAGGCTAGAAAAATCTGCCTACAAAAAGATATAGTTTGATGGGGACAAAGAAGCCCCACACTGAAAGCTGAACTTTTCACATTTCTATTTCAGAAACTTGATTTTATATCTCCATATAGTAATTTCAGACATTGGCATTTAATTTAAACACAGGAGGCCACAGCAGAAACATGCTTCTACTCTTTCTTGAGAGTGCAGGTGAGGGGGCTCAGCAGGTGAAAGCTCATGCTGTGCAGCAGAGCCTGAAGACCTGAATAACACCCAAGGCCCCAGACAAAAAGATGGATGTGATGTTGCGTATGGGTAATCTCAGCATCCCCACCAGCAAGATGGGAGGCTGAAGCTCGAAGTCAGTGTAGGAGCTGGGAAGTTAGCTAACCTGGAGCTCACAGAATGGCAGAAGCTCTGGAGAGCTGGTGGAAGCAGTAAACCAACCCCTGAGAATTGTTCTCTGACCTTCATAGGCATGCTGTGGCAACATGCTCCTACACACATGCATATACACACGCATGCATGCAGGAACACACACACAGACACACACACACACACACACACACACATACACACACATTATACAGACACACAGATAATGATGAAAACGATGATAGCAAATAAAATAAATAAAAATGTATATTTTCTACAATTTCATATGGGACATAAGAGGAAAGCTGAACTCCTTTAGCCTCTTTTCTTTTAGATTGCCCCACGTTTTAGAAAAACAAAAAACAACCACACACACACTGTGAAACGGAATATAATGCACTTAAATTGTGTGTTGGGTTTTTGTAGTTGTTTATTCAGTAGAAGATAGCAAAGTTTCAGGTGTTTTCTAAGCTCTTTATCTTTTTAATAGGGAAGTCTTTTCTGATGAGAGTGTAGATCTGCAATGTGATGCCAGTTCCAAAGGGACATCTGGCTGTGGCAGGAACCTGACAACCCAATGTGTTTGAGGAATGGAGTGCAGTTAGGAAAAATTATTTCCTAATAGCCCATGATACTGGGTAGTACAAGCATTTGATGACTCTGAGAAACAAGACTATCTCTGGCATGTGCTATGCAACCACAGAGATAAGAGCCCAGGTTTGTAAGATGTTGATGGTGGGTTCCAAATTATTACCACACTTTAAAACATAATAATTTTTTTTAAACAAGGGATGCCCATTATTGTCAGGATAACTATACAACTGTACAACCTGAAATGTAGGAGGGCTTTTAAAGGGGTGAAATATAATTAGCTGCTTCCTTAAGGCCTTTGAGAAGACACACTTGGCCTAATGGCCACACATGGGCTCGTTCTGTTTTCTCTGAAGGATTGCACACATGCGGCATCTTCAGGAGCTTAATCACTCCACAAGTATGCCGTCTTGTTTACTCTTTTAAAGATGTCCTCCTATACCATCTGCTTTAAAGATACTCATATAGTTGTCAGTGTTTCTATTTCCTAGATTCCAGTGTGTTCATATGATTACATTTGATAGACAAATCAGTGGAAATTTCTAGGTTATTGCCTCAAAAAGCAAAGACAAGTGAACAAAAGTCTTTCTTCTTCCTCCTTTAGGCAGAAAAGCAGATGTGACCATATAGAAGAGGGCACACTAGGGGAAAGCACAACAAGGGATGATGGGACCTGCCTCTTTGCAGGACTTGCTGAAGGAAATCTCTTTTGAAAACCCCATCATGCTTATCTTACATTAAAGACTTAGAAGACGAATTATTCTTTATTCTCAAGGCCCTCTGCATTAGCAGAGTTCCTTCTAGCTAATGCACACCATAAATTCTTGTGGGGTGCTTCAGCATAATTTCTTTAAAACCAGAATAGCTGAATAATGAAAAGCTCTGAGTCCTGAAGATTTGCACATAGGAAACATTATTAATTTGCATTAAAATCATCTAAAATGATATTGAACCAAATTTTACCTTCAATGATTTTCAGAACACTCTAAGCCTTGTGTAGCCTCAAGGTCATCTTTATGAACACTAATTATAGTATAAGTCTATAGATGCTGGGACTTGAGTAAATCTATAATAATCTCATGACAAACTTCCTGAAATTGCATTTTCAAAATAAATTCCTGAGGCACTAGTTTCTCTGTAATTTATCTTCATTATGAAATAGACTATAGAAGGTGAAAATAACTTTTGTAAATGCTCTCATTATTTGGAACCGAATATGGACACATCGGCTTTTGAAGAAATAACTAAAAAACAGAAAATACTTTTTACCTTAATATTTTCAATGATGAAACATGCTGAGTTTTAAAATATTATGTTGATGAACCAATTGCAAAGCAGGGAAGAAATACCATACTTAAGGTGTAGATTTTATGTTTACCTGCTCCAATAACTCTCTCAATGCGAATTCTTGAAGGATCAATCTCTTTTGCAAATTCATGGACTGCTAGGGATGGGTCTTCATAGGTGTCTGGATCAATGTATGTTTTAATTCCTGGGAAGCGCACTGCAACAAAATATAAGATTGATTTAATTTAAGAGTATTTCACTTGGCCATATGTCTCATGCATGTGTGAAGATGGGAGTGGTGTTCTGAGGTAGTTATTTATTAATTACTTACATTTCTCTTTATTTCCTCCTCAAGTTGATGCCTTCACAAAATGGCAAACAACAGAGAGATGCCACAGTTCATAAATTCTCTTCCTCTGCTTCTTGGCTGACATAAATTGAACAGCCCTTTCCCCATAGTCCTACCTCTAGGCTATATTCCCTTAACTATAGGTTCAGAACGTAGAATCATGTGAGCATGGGCAGGATCTTCTGAAGTCATGAGCTTAAAATAAATCCTTCCTCCATTCCTTCTGAGGCTTTCAAGATGGTTTATAAAATGATCTGAAGAAATTATAGCAAAAAGAAAATGCTGGACTTGTAAGGAGAGCCTAATGGAGGGAGATCAAAAGACCAGAATACAGACAGTAATGCTGAGGGTAAAGACTGTATTCATGGGGTTTTTATAGGAAGAACTCTACTGGGAATTTGATTAGAGGGCCTTCATGTACATTGTGACAGAATCTCTCCATCTTCTGTCCAATGGAAGGCTGAATTTGAAGATCACCATAGGTGAATATGGTGGAGGAAATGTCAAAGCAGTCTAGGAAGGCTCTGACACACTTGTTCTGACTACTTTTAGCCATATTTATGGTGACAACTGAGATTTAAAAAAAAAAAAAAAAGGGTTTCAAAAAAAACCCAACAACCTCACAATTTGGTCAGAAAGAAGTAAGAATAAAGTTACAGACAAGGAGGGTGTGGCTATTAAAGAGATTAGAGCCATTAAAAAGAGGCTGTGGACTTGGCTTTCTAACAATAAGGTAAATATTCCTGTCATTTTGGGAATGAGCAGGATTCTACCCATTTCAGACTCAAGTATAAGTGTATACTTGAAAAATCCTCCCTAGGAAGGGAGATCTATCGGTGTATACTACTCACGTAGGGCAATCTGAGTAGTTATTTCCTTAAGATTTTTTTTCATTTTTCATAGTCATCTGGACACTAAGAGGATTCTATACTCATTGTTCGAACTGGCAGAAGACCTTATCTTTATTTTCTAATTAAATTTTACAGTGATGAAAGTAGAAGAATCATGGGTAGGGTCATAGAGACTTCCACTCAACTTTCAAAGAAAGCCAAGAGATTCAGGCAATGTGAAGATTTGGTATTACTGTGGCAAGCCCTGATAGGATAATGTATACAGCTGTGATAGCAAAGATAAAGATGGAATAGAGATTCCAGGAAGCCTGCAATTCTGGGAATATGGAATACTTGGTGAAAAAGCAGAAACAGCTCAGGGAAATGGTCAAGTGTGCTAAAAACAGAGAGGATGTGATGCTCAAATCCTTTGCAATTTATGTCATTCCACAACATGACATGAATCCTAGACATAAAGCTAAATTTAATGTTTTCTCTATTGTATTTGGTTTGCTTTGTTCTAACCCTTATGTGGCATTCATATTCTTGACTTTTGGAATGAGAATATTGATTTTGTATCACTCTATCTGGTCCCTGTGACTCTGGGCTAACAGAAGACTCAAAACTTTTCAGCATTGTTGACTTATTAATACATTAATGACTGGATTCTGGGGAAAATGCTTTTGATATTGGAATGGTCATAAAACTTTTAGGAATGAGGGGTAGAATGTTATAGTTTAAGGAGATGTCAAGTTGACGAAAGGTGGACCTATGATGCTTAATTTTAATTGACAAATGATTGAGAAATGCTTTAAGTATTAACAAAAGTCTTCTTTAAGTGTGTCTGTAAAAATGTTTCAAGACAGTAGACATTAAGGGAGAAAACTTCCCCAAATCTTGGTAGAACAATCGCATGGGCTAGAGTGTGCAATGGATAAAGGAGAAAAGAGGGTGCTTTGATATGTACACATGAGAAATAGAGCTTAAAAATGTAATACCAAGAAAGAGTATCTCCAGGTGTATGTAAACCTGACATTGACTTTGAAGTCCTATGGCTTTTCTTGACTTGTCACCATTCAAATGTGAGCACAGAAGAGATAGTTGGTACCTCCATGTTATAATTCATAACCTCTATGCTATAATCACAACTTAATCATAGCTATAATTTTTAAATTTAGCTCTAATTCTGATAGAGACTTTGTGTCAACTAATCAGATACATGGTCGTGTTGAAAACATTAAGGACAGATAAAAATACCATTATCGACTCATGTAACTTTCACAGTTAAGCTTTTATTTAAAGTTATAACGCATTCCCATACAATAACTAGATAGGAATACTTTGTCTGTGAACATGTAATATATGTAATATTGGAAAACCTTGGCCAAATGAGTCCCAGTGAATATCAGGGTTACTCATTTAATTCATCCCCGCTTTCTTAAACACCGGTTTCTTTTTCTTCAATTCCTTGGCAGCTTCAGGTTATTTTCAATAGGTCTTGCTGAGCCCATCTGGTTTAGTTTATGCTAATCTGCTGCTTGGAAAGCAGATAATAAATACCTCAGAAGCACTGTTTCCCTCTGCACCTCAGTACAAAAAGCCCTGCTGTTAATCTGAAGGTTGCCCAGCCTTAGTCATCCCTCCAGGTGTGTGCATCCAGGTTTTGCAATCTGTTTACAATGTTCTGAGGTCATCTCAGGCCAGGTCTCTCAGGCAGATGGTTCTCAGACCACTTTTAAAAGTGATAGGTGCCTTAGAATTTTCCCTAAACCATCTCAGAAATATAGGATATCTTACTTAAAACTTTTTCCTGTCTGGTGGAGTGATATAAGATGGGAGAGATGTTTTAATTTTTTTTTTTTTTGCTTAACTTAAAACAAAAGGGATATTTAAATAGTTGAATGACTTGCTCCATATATTATCTCTATACTTTGGTTAATTAAAGAACTTCCCTTTCTTGTTAATTCAGTGTCTTACAATAGAAAAACTGTCTTGACGAGAAGTAGTTTGCAGTTTGGAGGTGAAGGTAGAGGTGGGTGTTTGGGAGGAGAGAAGGGCAATTATCAAACCAACTATAGTGGTAATTATAGCTTGCTGAGGAAGAGATCTTCAAATGAATATAACCTTGTAGTCAGCACGGGGCTTCATACATATTCTAAGCGTTAAAGAGCTGATATACTTTTATAGTGCTAATGAATTGTAAATTGCTTTGTTGTGTGATTAAATGACAATCTCTCAAAAAAAAAAAAAAAAAAAAAAAAAAGGAATAAGGGTTCCTCCACATGTCTGTATCTAATGCTTCACTAAATAAAGTGTCTCATGTTCTGGAGCCATTGTGATGGTAAATACGTATACACAATTAGTCACCATGTATTTTTAGTAAATTCAATTTGCTGGGTTCTCCTGAAAGCATTGAAGAAAGGGTAATGTTATTTAATGAGGAGCAGGTGCAGTTTCCAACCTAAACCTGCAGTTAGATGAAACCCTTAATGGCAAAAGGTTGCATATGAATTTTTTGTTTTCCTTTCAGGGAATTCCAAATCTGAATGGAGTTCTGAAGATTCCAGGAGGACACAGAACAGGGGGAGAGCAATCACAGTACTTACGGTGGCCATTCTGTAAGTGTGTTCTTCTCTTCTCCTCCGATTTCATTTTGGCCTTTATGTACCACTGACACCTTACAAAAAATAAGCAAAAGCTCATTTAAGAATTAGGTAATATAAAAGAATACAAAACAGTTAGGGGTATGAAGAAATGGATCAGTGATTAAGAGTACTTGCTATTCTTTCAGAGGTCTTGAGTTGATTCCTAATACCTATGTCAGAGGACTCACAGCTGCCTGTACTTCCGGGTTCGGGAGCTGTGAACCCCTCTTCTGGCCTCCATGGACACTTGAACTCATATGCACATATCCCTTTGCATATACATAATTTACAACTAAAAATCAAATGCTAAAAAGATTGCAAAACAATTAGATTACACATCCATAGACAAGGTTCTTGTATTTCTTCCTAAAGACCAGCTTAGAATATGTTTATAATGCCCCATATAATGTTTTTACATACATAAAAATTATCGCCAAATAGCACTGTTGAATAGACTGATTTGAAAGACTGAATTCACATAAAATATTTTACTATCAGTCATAAACATGGCTTTCTTGTATATCTTAATTCTCAAAACTACAATTGCTTTTTAAAAAGTATCAAAATAAATAAAAGATTTTGATTAGAATATCAGGAACTTAGACAATTAGCCTCTACTTTCAATGCCAGTTAGCATGGTGGCTTCATTGTTAAGAATGGAAATATTGTGGGGGACTGTTCTGTTCTTGCATTGTGTTTCTGGACTCTTGTGGCTGTAACAATTCAAGTGGTTTCATCAACATCCATGGGATTTGACTTTTCATAAAATTTATAATTCTAATTGACTAAAGATAATCCATCTGTAGTGCATAGTGCATTTTTTTCATTGTGAATTATTCCTGTATTTTATGGTAGTTTAAATATTCATCAAGATCTGCTTTCCATTTTTCATGGAATAACTTCCACTGGGTTCTACTAAGGACCGTAAGAGGTACTTCAGAATGCGATGTTAGCCAATGTAATCAAAGTGGTTCTCACCAGTCTGTAAAGTGTGCAGGCAATTGCAATGTTATAAAAATTGACAAACATAAAAATTCAAAGCCGAGAATGATTTAGTGTTCAGTGTTCTTTGCTATTAAGATGTCTGTTTAAGTGGCACTGGTATTTCAGTTCAGGTATTCTGATGATAGGTAACATTTGATAACTCCTCTCAAGCTTGTTAGCCTAAATTTTGCCCACAAATATTGAAGCATTTTAAGTTTGTGACATTTATAATTCCAGGAACTAACTTTTACTGTAAAAGGTGAATGCTTTTGTAATATCACATACTCTCTTGCAAAGGAGAAGGATTCTAAGAAAGTGATGATCTGTGTCAGAGTGGGGACATGTAAAAGAAAAGTATCTGAGGAGATAAATGGATGTGAGAATTGAAATGAACATGATTTTTTTTTCATGAAAAGTCACAATGACAATGTGATTGTGTTTACAAAAATACTGCTAATACCTTATATGGATAATTGCTTAGTAAACATTACCAAGAGAACACTCTATAATAAAATTCTCTAGTATATCTTCTTTAGCCTCTATGAAACACTAACATCAACTTGTGAAGCTTGGGTATGGGTATCTTGACAATAATATTTATCATAAAATTACACACAACTGAAAGTACAATGATATCCTGTATAGAGCTCTTAACACAAATATATTATCTAGACTGTGATAATTCAATAAGTATTAAGATTTTGATTGAGCAAGATTCTTAACTTCCATGTCAAAAATTTCTTTGAAGATATTTAGGGTACAGTATTAGATTTTTTAAAAGAGGAGTGTCATATTTATCTACAACAACAAACAATAAACAACCTCCCATTCAATATGAAGTTCAGCCAAATAAGATACAATATATGTTACCAACATCCTTTAAAATATGAATTAAGCACCCTCCTTCATCCCTTTCTGCCACTGGGGCTCTAAATGGCATACCCACATCTATTACTTGTCAATGTCACATCTTTATCTCCTTTTGGGGTTTTCTGATAGCATTTAGTGCTTTATATATATGGACTCACTCTGGAGATATATATATATATATATATATATATATATATATATATATATTCTTTTATTGGAATTATTTGGACAGTTTTCTATCATGGCATTAGCATCTTGTATTACTCAAGTTTCAGATTATTAACACAAGTCTTAGGTGTTCTTTGTTCCCCTACTGATCCTTAGAAATGCCTTGGGTTTCTGTTATTTTGAGAAAGCATCATTACCAAATCAGTTTTGGAAGGAAAGGCTTTATTTCAGCTCACAATTGTCAATTCACGTTCTATCAGTGAGGGAAGTCAGGATAGGAATCTGGAAGCAGGAACTGAAGCAGAGGTCATAGGGGAGTGCTGCTCACTACCTTGCTCCTTGTGGCTTATTCCACCTCTTTTCTTAAACCTCCCAGGAACAATGCCCAGGAGTAACAGCAACCCACAGTCAGCTGGGCCCTACTACTGATGTCAATCTGGTGAGGACATTTTCTCAATTGGGGTTTCTTCTTCCAAAACAACTCTAATGTATCAAATTGGATATTGGTAATCATTCAAATACCACAAACACACACACACACACACACACACACACACACACACACACAGAGAGAGAGAGAGAGAGAGAGAGAGAGAGAGAGAGAGAGAGAGAGAGAGCATAGTTTCCTACTGAGTTGGGGATAATCAGGGAAGACTCATTTACCTCCCAGTGATGAGGAAGAATAGAGTGAGGATGACTAGGAGAGTGAATCCCCCAACAGCAGCCGTGGCTATTACCAGGATCTGCCCTTGTTCTGCTGCCATGTCAGAAGCTGAAACACAAACACAGGTGACACATATGGTGATGGTTATGTTTTTTTAAACACATTGGTTTGACCTTCATTTTAATAGGTCTATAAAAAACACAGCTGAAATGAGATTTATATAATGTTTGCAGAACTGAGGTCATCATACACAACACAAAACTTTCTTCTTAAAAATATAACTTAAGTATATGAATTCTTAATGTTTCCTTTTAAGACCAAATATGAGTTGTACTGATCAGTCTTTGCAGACTCTTTTCACAACTGTTTCTACAATATGAAAAGACTATGATGTAATTTAAATTAATAAATTAAAATAATTTAATTTATATGTAATATGTATTTCATAGAACTAAATTCAAATATTACAGATATACAGTTCCATACTTACAGTGCAAGGACATATGTGTATAGACAAGGATACATATTCATATGTGTGTACACACACACACACACACACACACACACACACACACACATATATATATATATATGTATTTGATATATAGTAAGTGGGGAGAATAAAATACATAAATGCTTTTTCTATGAAAAGGCCAGATCACACATAGTAGCAACATACTACTAGTTTGTTTTCTTTTTTTTTTTTTGCTATGTGTGATGTTTAATAATAATTTTCAACTGTATGATGCTGGCATCTCAGCATGCATGTGGGGAATTCTTTTGATTACATTAACATTCATTGTAGATGGAACCATTTCATGGGCTGGGATCCAGGAGTGAATGAATGGAGAAGGAGAGCTGAGCATCAGTATTCATTCATTTGCTTCATACTCCAGGACTGTGCTGTGTCCACCTGCTTCTGATGCTTTCTTGCAGCCTTGGCTTCCCTTCTAAGCACTGGTACTGTGAGCCAAAATATGCCTGTCCACTGAAGTTACCTCTGTCAGAATGTTTTACTATACAAAGAAAGAAATAAAAACACTAACAATAGTGTACCTCTGTGTGGGTGTATGTGGGCTGTTTGTGTGTGCGTTTGTGTGTATATGATGCAATGGTATGAACAAGGGGCCTTGCACATCCTAGACAAGAAAACTCATCTTGAAAACTGCAGCAGCTATATGTCATTCATCTTCTAAGGGCCTTAAATTACATTGATTAGTTCAGTTTGTTATTATACTCCATTTTCTCTATTGCTGTTTTCTGTACTGCATGGGATGGAAAATTGCTTATAAGATGTATATACATATATACATACATACAGAAATATCAGAGTGAATCCTTTGATATCTATAATTGATGTGTTTATTAAAGAAAAACGTGGTAATGAAAGTGAAATACAGATTAAAAAGTCTCTTCATATAAATGTATAACCAGAATTCAGACTCTCAAATTTTAGTTTTGTTTTCCTTCCTATGCTACAAATACCAATAATAATTCAGCCTTCAATAGTCTAAAATGTTAATCAGTAAGTCCCATTATTATCCTTCAACTTGATTAAAGCTCTGTTGTCTTATTTCATTGTGTGTGGTGTGTGTGTGTGTGTGTGTGTGTGTATGTGCATACGAGAGAGAGCGTGTTGTGTACCAGTGTGTGCTCCAGTGTGCATATGGAGGTCAGAGGAAAATCTTGGGTTTGGTCCTAGTCTTCTACCGTGTTGAAGACAAGGCTTCTCATCATTCACCACTCTTTTTGCAGGTTATTATTATTTTTCAAAGATTTATTTATTTATTTATTTATTTATTTATTTATTTATTTATTATATACTCAGTGTTTTACCCACAGGCCAGAAGAGGGCACCAGATCACATTATGGATGGTTGTGAGCCACCATGTGGTTGCTGGGAATTGAACTCAGCCCATGCTTTTAACCGCTGACCCATCTCTCCAGTCCCCAGGTTATTTTGATACATACACTCCACTAGCCTCCAGGAGTTTTCCTTTCTCCACTTCCCACATCTCTGTAAGGGCAGTGATAGCTATGCTACTATGTCCAGATTTCATAAGGGTTCTTGGGGACTCAAATCAGGTCACCAGGCTTGCACAGCCTCCTCTCCTAAGGAATAGCAACTGTTGACTTCAGTAAGAAATCAGTCACACCATTTAGGAGACTTTCTAAATGTAATAAGAAACAAAAGTTTCATTTGTTCCATTTCAGCTAAAGAAATTCATTAAAACTTGGAATTAGATTTTAGTCACCATTATTTCATCAAAGTATTTTCAGGCAGTTTTTGCAAAGTTGAATTTTGATTCATAATCTATTCAGAGACAAGTGGCATCTTATCCAGTAAATAATAGACTCGGGCTTTTTATTAGTTCTTACCCATGTTGTGCAACCTTCAAAATAGCCCTGATATGGGAATTAATGGTGTGCTCCAAAATGTCATATTTTCTAACTGAAAATTATCAAACAATAAATTTTTTAGAAATTGATGTTTCAGAAAACATAGTTTTGAAGATAAAGAGGATGACATTTGTTAAAAGAAGACATTGTTTACTTACAATTCCTGTGCTCATAAAAGATATGATCTAGTTCAAGAGTTTTCAGCCTAGAGCAAATATTGTCATAGTAGTCTGGTCTCTCGTGTTTTCTGAGATGCTATTCAAAGCTCATTTGGAGAATAAAATTGTATACTTGAGAGGCTTGTGAAAATCAGAAAGTTTGTCATAGAAATTTATGTTGATTTATATAATAACTTAGTTAACTACTGGCTTCACCAAGAAATTTCATTTTGCATTCTTCAGATTATATGATTATGAACTGGGCTTAAATTAAAATTTTAATTGTTTAACAAAATGTTAAATATATTTGGAAAATGCATAGCCCTGTAAAATCATTTACTAAACATGCATACTACCAAATTTAAACACCTCTGTATAAAGAATACCATATACACATATTGTACTGGGCATAAAATAATACAGATAATGAGGGTAGAGTGATTAGGGAAATATGACAAACATAAACACCATATCACTTATATTATTTAATAAAGAGATGTTTATGTTTTTAGGTCAATGCACTGAGTTTAAAAATATTATTGAATGTATGTTCATGTTCCACATGCTTATGCCAGTACCAGTGTTACTTCTAGTTAAGTAGCTCTGTTACTTGTCCAAACCCACACATGCTGTTCACAGCATGGCTGAGAGTACAACACTGATTTGTCTGTCTGTAAGTCCTAGCTACTGAAATATTCGAGATGATCCTCTTCACTAACAGTAGAACCTAATTGACTAATTGATTTTCTTTTGTTCTACCAAAATCATGCATGCTCTTGCTTGCCACTGATTCCAAGTCTATAATGTGAGAGTACTGAATGAAACGTAATTGTTACAGTCTTCCAGAGAAATATAACTGTTTCATTGTGTTTTCCATGAAGGCTACAATAAAATATTGGAAAGAACATCACCTCTTACATTGAAGTATGAGGGATGCCCTAGACCTATGCTGTAGTTATTGTACCTGCTGGCTGAATTCTGTCTTTATGGTATTTGTGCTGGTCCATCCCACAGAGCTCTGATTTCATCTCAGGGTAAACTTCAAATCCCTTAACTTTATTAAGGAGGCTTTTTTTCAACTGGCTAGCGCAAGTGTCCAGCTTGTCTGATTAAAGGAGAGCACATTCCCTTAATTCCTTGAGAGAGAGTCACTTTTCCTGTAATGGTTAGTTGCTGACAGTTCTCTTTCATGGACACCTAGTCATTTGGAAAGCTTTTCCCAGTTGTTTTTAGACTGTCAGACAGATGTTTCCCAAACCCTTTAAACTAATACTATAAATGAAAGGGAGTCAACACTGGACCGAACCAAGCCCTCTGAATGTGGGTGCCAGTTAGGAGGCCTGGGATGTCTATGGTGCCTCTAATGGTGGAACCAGTATTTAATCCCTAGTGCACAAATGGACTTTGAAGCCCATTCCCCATGGAAGGATACTCTCTCAGCCCAGATACATGGAGAAGGGCATAGACTTTCCCCCAAAAGGTTTGACAGACTTTGATGATCCCCCTGGAAGGCCTCATCCTCCCTGAGGAGTGGGTAGGAGGTAAGAAGTGGGGGAGGGGTCTGTGGGGAGGATGAGAGAGAGAGAGGGAACTGGGATCGATATGTAAAATAAGATTTTTTTCTTAATTAAATAAATTAAAATGATAAAAAAAAGAAAGTATAGTACGCCACCCAAATTACTTTTTGGCAAACTGTCTCTTTCACTGGGATAAAAATTCCAGGAAGGCAGGGAATTCAATCATTGTGATGTATGTAGACAGTCCAGTGTGACATACCTCCACTCCTTTCAAAGAGAAAGTATAAATAAAAATCAGACCCAGCGTGGATCATCTAGATGGTTTCAGATCTAAGGGTCATTCTTTTTTATGTGAGGTTGAGACAAGAAGACAAAGAGGGAATGGCTGGAGTGACAGCAGAGTGACGAAGAGCTAGAGGAAGTGAGGAAGAGTTTCTTCTCAGAGCCTTGGAGGAGCTATACTTTGGGTTCTATTTGTGATCTGTCGTTTGAAGACACAAAGTGAGTCCTATAGTACCCCAAAATGAATTTGAAGCCCAGCCCATGTGACTTGATATGTGTATAATTCTGATAAGGAAAGGTTGGATGAGCTGGAAATAGCTCATAACTGTCTCCCTTTTGATAATGTGAAGAAGTTCTACCTCAAACATAGCTGTTCAGTGTTTATGAAGACATCATACTCAGTATGCATTTCTAAATACTCTACTCACTTTGGAGACAATGATTTTGAAAACCAAGAGTTACTATAGCAGTAACACTTCTACATTTCACCATGGTCTTCAGAACAAAGTTAAAGAATTCATTAATATACTTGATAAGTATTTATTGAGAAGTTATTACATAGTAAATACTGAGGTGACCATGGAGAGATAGAGATGAACAAAACGGATGCAATTACAATGTTGGTAGATTGAAAGTTCAGTAGAGAAAATAGACAATGAACAAAAAATCTTACAAAGAGTAAGAATTGCTACATCAGGAAAAGTTGTCAGCAGCGTTATCTGTATTCATTTGTGCACTCCCATTGTTAATT